CTTTTAACCTCACTGTGCCATTCAAAATTATCCTACAAAAATGGGCACCAAATTAAAACATTTGGTCTGATAACAAATTGTGTAATGACATTCTATTGCTTTAACTTCAATATGTTGAAGAACAGGGACATTTTTTCTCCCCTAAACTGTGGCTTAGTGATTGTAGACCAGTGTGGGCCATTTGGGCACTGGCTGGGATGATTTTGCACTTCTTACCTGTCTTCAGGGTTTCCAGGGACACTGTGTGACTAGGGCCCCTTAGACCCTCCCTAAGAAACATCACAGCAAAGATTTACAGAGAACCTAACACATGGTTCTCAGCACAGAACGAGACTATTGTTGTATGACCTGATTGCATTTCAGTGATTGTCCCAGTAAAAATGACATCATCCCATTCTTTTTTCTTGACTGCCCCTTGTGCATGACCCCCCAACCCCCACCTTCAACATCGTTAAACTGCATACTCCAGTGAGGAGAACAGCTATTTTCCTCTTAACTTCCTGCCTGGATGTATCATTATGGCAAGAGTCATAACAGTTTTCCTCTGGTCAGTCAACATTCCTGCAGTTTGCTTTCTCATCAAATCAAACAAAGCACCATTCTGTTGGTAGCCAAAGCATACTGCAAGGTATCCTTGCTCAGTGCTGGGACTGGACTTGGTCACAGGAGCACACAGAGGAGCCAGCTAAAGACGGCACAACCTGATGATATCATGCCATTGGCATTTGATATTTTCTTTAAACCCAAAGCCTGGCAGTAAAGCTCTTGCTTAGGGCGCAGAAGGCCCTGGGTTCCATTTTCAGCATGGCAAAACAAAAGCCAGAAAATCTCACCAAGTCACTGTCTTTAAGGGTGTAGTGTTTAAACAGACCCATTTAATACACAGGTATGTGAAAATGTCTGTGCTTTTCCATACTAATCCTTGTTTATTGCTTAGAACTGTGTTGAAGACATATGACAACAAAGGGAGTCTCAAAATGAGGGTTGGGGTGTGGCTCAGGTGGTAGAATGCCTGCCTAGCAAGCATAAGGCCTGAGTTCAAACTCAACAGCTCCAAAGTTAGTCTTGAGAGGTAAGAAGATGGGTGCAGGAATACATGCTAATTTAGAATATCTATCTGAAGAACGGTACCGACTGTGCTTTGAAGTGTTACCTCTTGCAGAGAAAAAGCAGACGCAACTTACATGTCCCATAACCATGTGAAAGAACACAACACACATATTTAAAAGAACCATAAAGGGCTGGAGGCGTGGCTAAAATGCTAGAGTGCCTGTTTAGCAAGTACAAGGTCATAATTTATTTTGAAAATAAAAAAAATGAAAAACAGAATTATGAAGATGATGCAGAAACTATAAACTGGTTTTGCTATAAAGATAGGAAAAGAAAAATCAGAATGAAATTCTATGTTCGCTGTGTTTCCAACTATGTAAAATATTAACTACAATTGTAAAATTGTTGCTGTTGGAGTTGGAAATGAAACTCAGTGATGCACTTCCCCAGCACGTGGGAATGGGGGGGTGTAAATAAATATAATTAAAATTAAATTATTGCTTTTGGGGCTCAAATGAAAGAGTGCCTGCCTAGCAACCATGAGGCCCAGAGTTCAAACTCCAGTACCACTACCATCCCCCAAAAAACTGCTCCTTTTGTAGTTCAGAAATAACTCACAAAACAGCAATTTTTTTATTATTCAGTTTGGTATATATTTACACAGAAAAGACTGATTGGCTTGAGTTGTGTGTGGCTTTTTTTAAAAAAAGAACTCTTAAAGAACTTTGTTGGGCAGCTATTACATTGTTTTACCATGAATACATACTTTGAAATGATGTTAGTGTTCCAATGCTCACACAATGCAAAAGTGTCAGCTTCATCCACAGCACCCTGAACTGAGACCTTTATGCTCCACAGCAAGCTTTAAATGCTTACTAGATATCAAGATGAATAATTTTAATGGCTTTTAGGGTCCACACCTAATATTAATTCCTATTATATATAAATGGTAGATAATTTTAAAGTCACTTAACTTTAAAATATTAAATTTGATTTATGATATTATTTAAAAATAAAATACCAGCTAAGCTCAGCTAAGGCATGCACTGAAGATAAAATATTCCATCCCAAATGGGCATCAGCAGGGTGAGGCAAAGACTTAATTGCCTTACAAACACCACGGGCACTGTTCTCAGTTATCCCATCTGTGTGCACCAAACCTTGTCCCACAGTGCAATATTAGAGTGCAGAAGGGACAATACCAGCCATTCATATTTTGGCAGGTGTATTAGGGCTGAAAACCAGGCTCCACAAAAGTTAGCAATCTGTTCCACAGGTGTGATTTTTGATGAGAGCCCTGAAACTCTTCCCGAAGCAGAGAGATTTAATTGTCCTTGTGGTATCTTGTATATGAATGCAACCTATCCATCCTTGGAACAAGACACAGTCTTCAGATAACCCAACAGACAAGAGATGCTTGAGATCAACCTACAGTATCTCCTGGTTCTGTTGCTTGGGCCATGCTGAGTTCAAAGAATTACAAATAAGCAGTTCTTTTTATACTTTTGCAGAGCTGGGCATTGAACCCAGGACCTTGTGTATGCTAGGCAAGTAAGTACCAATGAATTACATCTGCAGCCCAAGCAATTCTTAAAGCTAGGAAAATATTAAGTGAAAGAACATTATACTCAGATGATATGAGCAGAGAGGCAGTGAAAAACACACAGGGCAGCATTCTGGATCCAGATGGTCCAGTAAAGTAGTCCTTACTTTATAAACCCAACTGCTGAAACACATACTAAAAGGACCTGTTTCTTTCTACAGAATTTACTGGGTAGGAGGACCATGGGGATGTGAATGCAGATGTGGTGATGGGAAGTGACTCAGCTGCTTATCTAATCCAACTCAAACGATGGAGGGGCAAAGGTCTCTGAAGCCAGTGGCCAGTCAGAAATTAAATTTGAATTTTCCAGCCCAAAAATGGAAAAAGAAATCAGAGCCAGCTCTCACAGGGAGTCCACAGATTGTTAAGAAACAAGTGTCCTGAGTGTTAAATTTGAGCAAGTGACTCTGATCTAATATTAGAGAAAACACTATTTCTTTTGCCATAATAAGAATATCCTGGAAAAAGGAATATGGATATAACACATAAAGGGGTGAAATTACAAAATAAGATCAAGAGTTCCAGATATTAAACCTGGAACTCTAGAAAAGTAGCCTTTTCACAACACAAAAGAAATAAAGTCAGCTGCTTTGGGACATCAGGTTTTCAGTGGTCTCTTGGGAAGTAGAAGGGCAGATGACTCCAGTGTTAAGGCTTTCCAGCTCTTGTGTAGTTAATTTTCAATGTATCACAGCAGAGGCCAACCTCTTTCTTTCCCACAGAAAAACTAATGCACTGGGCTGGAGGTTCATAAGAAACATTTGGCAAATTGACTCAAGAAGATAAAGAACACTAATGAAGTCACAATTCCATCTGTTAAACTTATTCCTAGACATAACTTTTCTAGTTTCCGTTTTCAAATGTTTTCCTCTCCTGTTTGCAGGTTTTGTTTGTTTATTTTGTTTTGGTTTTGAGACAGGGTCTTGCTATCTAGCTCTGACTGGCTAGGAACTCATCACACACCGCAGGTTGGCCTTAAACTCACAATCTTCCTGCCTAAGCCTCCTGAGTACTGAGGCAGGAGCCATTATGCCCAGATCTATTTGCAGTTTTGAAATAAGGAGAGCTCCCTTTCAACTTGTCTTCTTGTATTATTAATTCAGCTATTGGGTAACAAGCATCCATCACAGTGGAGTAACCCACCTTTTATGGTGGTATGCTTGGCCACCTGAAGACAAAGCCCCAAGAAAGAGAAAGTTGTCATGCTTATGATTTCATCCCAAAGCAGTCACCTTAGATGCTCAGACACATCCAGCCAGGACCCTTCTTCACTTGGTATTTGTAGAATGAAGACAAAATTTTTCATTGCTAAATATTAGGAGTTTCTGGGCAAAACAGTCTTCAAAAGACAAACCAGCAATTCAGGGCAGACTTGAATGTTTTGTTCTGTTTTTGTTTTTTGTGTGAGGTTCGTGAACTTTTGGTGACTAGAGGACAGGTTCCAAACCAACCTAGGCCAACACAAGGCTTAGAAGGAAAATCAAGCAAAGGCAATGGTGTTTAAGACTAGCAATTGAAACCAAAAGACCTCAACAGTTTCCACTGCATTGGTTTTGGTTGGGGTACAGTTGACATTTGAGAAAAGCCTCATGGAGTATAAACTCACATAAACCCAACTCCTGAGAAAGTTTTTGAAACCAAGGTCACGTTGCTGAAGTTGGGCTCAGCAACTCTCTCAACTCCCGCAACAGTCTAGGTACTAATATTTACCTTCCATGGCAAAAAACTGTACAGACAAGCTGTGCACAAGTCAAGTGAGAGCCGTGTAGTTGTCACTTCTGGCACTATGCTGTGATGACAGAGAGTGGCTGGCCAGCCACTCAGTGCCCTCAAATCCCCTCACCCAAGTTCCCGAATAGCTCCAAATGTTAATAAATTCAGATGATTCTTTCGATGAACATTTTTTCTGATGGTTCTTGTGACATTCCCAAGAACTGATGTCCTGATATGGCCTGCCAACTGTAAGGCCCCTTTTAGCTCCCTAGGCCAAGATGAAGAATCCTTAGGAAGTATTAGACTACTGGCTCCCCCTATAGGAGGAGGAGGCATTCTCCCCTTCAAGTGACAGAATGTTCAGATGGCCCTTGGTTCAATTAATTAAGAGATAAAAATTTGGCCGGGCGCTGGTGGCTCACACCTGTAATCCTAGCTACTCAGGAAGCAGAGATCAGGAAGATCGAGGTTTGAAGCCCGCCCAGACAAACAGTTCACAAGACCCTATCTCAAAAAAACCCGTCACAAAAAGTGGGCTGGTGGAGTGGCTTAAGGTGAAGGCCCTGAGTTGAATCCGCAGTATTGCCAAAAAAAAAAAAAAAAGAGAGAGAGATTAAAAGTTTGAAATGAGTACCTTTGAAGACTGTCTGCAATTATTCTGCCGTGAAGAACCTGCATCTCATTTGTGAAATTCGCCTTCTCCAATTGACGATGGGAGGCCGTCACACCTACAATGGAGAAGAGCAAAAGGGCTGTCAGTTTCATTTTCTCAGCCATTTCTCTCACCTTTCAGATGGGGCCCTTTCAGAGCCTCAAAAGGAGAATATCATTGGTAATAAGTCTTCAAATTTCATCAGAACTGATCTGCCGATCACTCGTTAGCATCTTTGAAGCACTGTGGGTGAGTCAGTTTCCATTTTGACCCCCTCTTCATCAAGGGAAAGACTTCCATTAGATTCACCTCATATTATTCTTTGCCTGAGTTTCATAGAACCAATAAAGAAGAGTTTCTTTTTAAAAGTTTACAAAATGTTCCAAGTTTAAAGGTTGAGTGATATTTAATTTCAGGCTGTGGGATCTATTTTAAAGGAAAATGCACTGAATCATAGAATCTTTAAAAGTTCTGCAAACTATTATTTGATGAGTAGCAAAGCAAGCATTTACAAGTGGTTAAATGTGTTTGTATTCTTCATTTATGACAGTTGAAAAATGTGACTAAAATAAATAAAGCTACTTTGAATAAGAAGAAACACCCATTTTTAATGCATTACTTCACAAAGCAATTTTGCTGTGTGTAATTATGTATGCACGTTGAGATTCCCTGAAGTAAAAATTTACATTTGAGGGGTTGGGGGCGTAGCTCAGTGGTACAGCACACTTAGCATGTACAAGGCTGTGGGTTCAATCTCCAGCATCAAAAACAAACAAGCAAACAAAATTTGAATGTGATGCTAAAAGATCTAGCTGTGGTCAGGTCGACATATCCTCATGTTGAAATGACGCTCCTTTTTCTGACACTGTTCTGAATCTGCTCTGGTAGGCAGCAGATTCTGGAATTAGATGTCTGAATTCTGGGCTGCACAGTCACTGGCTAGATGAGCCTGAGCAAGAACTCACTTTCTTTATGCCTCAGTATACTCTGAAAACTGAGGTGAAAAATGGTCTCTACTCTGTAGGAATGATGTGAGGGATTGTATGAGAACAGCCATGTGAAAAAGTCTGAAGAGTTCCTGGCACAAAATAAGAGTTCAATAAACACTGGCAGACATTATATGGGTTGGGCTGTTTTTAAAACCAGTTAACAAACATACTTCTCCTGTATATTTGCAATGAAAAGACACTCTGGGAGGCACAGACGTAGCTCAGTGGTACAGAGCTTGCCTAACATGCACTAGGCCCTGGATTTGATCCCCAGAAGAGAGAGAGAAGAGACAGAGAGGAAGGAAGAAAGGAAGGGAAGAAGGGAGGGAGGGGCCCACCATAGTTCACAGTTCCATAACCTCCACCCCGGGAAATATCTTGTCTGGATCTTTCTGCATGTGTGCCCACTTGTGAAGGCTCATTACAAGTAGAAGTGGTACTAAATACTCAATAGAAATTTGTTTCATTAAAATATTTCTTTTTTATCCAATTTCATTAATGAATACCTGGTTAAACAAATTTAATTTTTAGTTTCAGCAAAGCAGCAGCATCTGGCAAATAGAATTTATAATATTAACTGGAATATTATTACTTTATGGTTTTGTTCATATTTAATTAGTGAGTTATTTGGAGGCTTTAATGATATAAACACAGCTATACAAGCCAGGCGCCTGTGGCTCACGTCTGTAATCCCAGCTACTTGTGAGGCAGAGATCAGGAGGATTGTGGTTCTTAGCCAACCGAGGCAAATAGTTCCCAAGACCCTCTCTTGAAAATACCCAACATGAGAAATGGCTGGCGGAGTGGTTCAAGTGGTAGAGTACCTGCCTAGCAAGGGTGCGGCCCTGAGTTCAAACCCCAGTACCACCCCAAAAAAGTTTGCTCTTCATCTCTGCTCTCGTCACTGTGGCCCATGATGGTGGTATCCTTTGGCCATGTTTTTAATATTGCTCAGAATGAGGATCGTATCTTGGGCTTTATCTCTGTCTTGTACACTAATCGTGATGTGACCCCAGTAACCACTAGGCAGTCACTAAGCATCACTGGATAGTCAGTGTTGGAGTCAACGATTGATCCTTCCTTGATTTTAAAGTTTATTCAAGTTTTGGCTAAAAATATGTGAGATTCTGAGTGGCTCCTCAAGGAGGAATAATTTGTCAGGCCACAGCCCTGAAACTGGGCCACCTGAGCCACACAAACTTGAATGGACCAGGAATTCAGTGATTTGCTGTGGGTCATTTACCCCTTCCCATTGTTTAAGTCAAACATGATATTTTCTGTAAGCAGTAACTGGATGGAAGACTCAGATGTGTGTGGGGTGGGGGGAGGGGTGGCGGGTAAAGAAAGAGAAAAGGGAGAAAGATAGAGTTCATATGAGTTTCACTCTTTCTATTCCTAAAACAAAAGGGTAGACTTGGTAGATTGGAAGACCTCTGAAATTCCTTTTTGCTCCAGAAGTCTATAAAATGTTGGCATATATGCCTATTAATTTGAAATTACCATCCATGAATAAGTATGGGTGGGTGCCAAAATTTCACCTGTTGATAGTCCATTGGCAAGTTAAGCTTGCTAGTTTAACAGCTGTACTTGAAAAAGTTTGGATTGGCTTCTCTACATCAGTGTTATTGCACTTAGTGCTTATGAATTTCTGCTATAAAGCAACTACATGGTGGAACTCAACTCTCTTGGCTTTCTCAGTTGTTCAGAAATTGAGCTGCATTTCCTGGCTCTCAACTTCATAAACTCATCAGATTTTGCTGCAGACAAATGTCATTAAAATAACAGTTCTCCCTGGAAAACACTAGCACCATTCATAGTTACTGAAGTGCTGGAACAGTAATGGATATCTTTATACTGTGAACTGGAGGTATTTTCCTAAACCAGACACATACGCACATTTAAAGGTAAAGGGTGAGTTTGCTTAAGCAGTCGCCCTTTAAATCTCCTCTGAGTGGCTTTCTTCTTGCTGCTGAACTGCATTCTGCCTTCACTCCCTTCGCCTTGGAACGTAATAACCAGTTCCAAACTGCTTTCCCTAAAGGATGCTTGGAAGGTCCAAAATGTCCTCATTAGAAAACTTGCGCTGAACCACAGAAATCTTGCCATTGTGGACGGTGCATGCACGTGGGACTGTTACTTCAGCACAATGACATGAGACCAGAAAACATGCGAGCAGGAAGCCAAACCCAAGAGAGAGTTGGGGACCTTCCAGTTTTCATGGAGCTCAGAAATGAAGCAAAATCCAGCAGCCCTCTGAACTCAGGTGTCTGGGGACCTCACCTCTGTGACCCAGCCACTCTTCAAACATTGTGTAGGCAACACAGTGGCTCAGGCAGCACCCAAACTGGAATAAATCATCTGTCGGCAAACCCAAAAAGATCATGAAGAGTGTTTCAATTACTTAGGGTGCCAAGACTTTAAATGGTTTGAGTAACCTAAATGTGGAATGGCTGGCTACACATACAGAAACCTATCATGTTCCTCATCCTTCCAGCTGATGCTAAAGGGAACCCCCAAACATTACCTTGCTCCTTCTTTAAATAACAAACACTCCTCATGTGTAAATCGTCTTTCTCTGAAGTATATATTTGGTGATTATACTGCATAGCTGAGATATTAATCGTTTCTTTTGGGTAGTCAGTCAGTTTTTAATTTCAATACTGAGGATGGAGCCCAAGGCCTTGTACATGCTAGGCAAGCTCTCTATCACCGATCCACAGTCTCAGCTCTGTAGTCTTCTTTTTTTAATGGCAAAAGCATTTTTGGCAAAAATAGGAACATTTTTCATAATTTCAAGTTCAGATCGGGGTTTGGGATATAGCTCCATGGTAGAGTGCCTGCCAAGCCTGTGCAAGGCCCTGGGTTCAATTCTAGCACCACAAAAAAATAAAAGTTAATTTCTAAAATTTGGTGAATTTTGAGGTGAACCTTCAGAAGCCTACTGGAATTCAGATAACAACCAAATACTATCTGGATGTGATGAAATTTTTTATAGTTAGAGGTAGAAATAGCTCCTGAAATCTGTTTTTAAGTCTGTCTCTAGAAAGAAATATTATACAAGTTTGCGAGATGAGCCATAATGTCTGGAGCTAATCAATGGCATTTCCTCTGAAGTGTTCAGGTGGGTAAGAGCTTTGAGATCCAGGAAATCCGAGAGAGGCTTAGTCATAGAAGATTGTTCTGAGCTTAAAAAAGGTGAAAGGCTAGAAGAAAAGCAAGGTTATCATGTAATCAGACCCCACACATTTAAAAGTCACAGCTTCCTGTCTGCTAATCAGATTTGCCATTCATTCAAAATGTTAAAATTCTCCCAGTTGTCATCTTTTAAAAATTTGCGAATGTCACCCACCCCTCCTCAGTAAACAAGCACTATTCTGAAGTATGGGAGGAATTCATGGGTCATACAGGAAGAATGAAATGGTTGTAGGTGACCTAAGAGCCAGATAAGAAACTACCTGCTTTGCTTGAGTCTGAGTGGGTTCCCTAGTTCAAGGAAGTGAAAAAATCTCTGCTAAAAACTAAAAGAACTTAATGAGTAAGTATTAATACTTTACAAAGCTTTCTACTCTGCTCATTTCTGAGGGCTCAGTGGAAGTAAAAATCACTCTCTCTTTTAGGGTACACAGGGCAATACCATCTAGACATGGCCTGTCGAAAAGTTAATGAGAAGCAAATCCACCTGACAGACAGTAGGAACGCAAGATTAATGCCAGGGCTAGAGGCATGGCTCAAGTGGTAGAGCGCCTGTCTAAGCATGAGACCCTGAATTCAAACCCCAGTATCACCAAAAAAAACAAGCTCAGATATTTGAGGGCCATAGAACATAAGAGGGATATCTTAGTCTTCGCTTTTCTCCTCAAAATTTCAAAGAGAAAAAAAATCTGGCTGTAATTATTTACTTATTTATTTTTGAGAGTCTTGCTATATAGCCCAGGCTGGCCTTGAACTCATGATCCTACTGCCTCAGCCTCCCAAGTACTGGGAATACATATATGTGCCACCACATCTGGCTAATTTTATATTTTAAAAAAAAATCTTTATATTTTTACTAAATATTGCAGTCTAACCTCTTATTGACATCACAATCTGACATCCTAATGAGCTCTTATCTTCTTCTATAAGGACCTCCTCTTGTTCTATGGTATTCCATTATAGCTCCCTTTTTGCCCAAACCTAAAACTAATATTATAAAGGTTTCTTGTCTCTTCCTTCTATTCATCCAGTCCCAAGTCAAGAATGTTCTACCTTGCCTGGCACCAGTGCCTCACACCTGTAATCCTAAATTCTCAGGAGGCAGAGATCAGGCCAATGGCAGTTGGAAGCTGGCCCCAGCAAATAGTTCCTGAGACCCTATTTCAGAAATACTGATCAGTAGCTGATCTTTTAATTGAATTAGCTAGAGTACAGAATTTAGGGATGACAGATCACTTTTAAACTTAGAGCTGAATGCAACTAGAATCCAGTCTTATTTCCAACTCTGATTATGTCTTAAGAGCCAGGGATAACTCGAAATTGAAATAGCATTTAAAGAGAATCTTAAAAAATGACATAATTTTAAGTTCCCATGTTTGTTAAATAATGAAAAAAATCATTGCAATGCAATCTGCAATTTGATATGAAATTTCTCCATTTGGTCCATTTTGGATATTATACATCACTGAGCACTAGACACCTACAACAAATCTAAGAGTTCAAGATAATTCAGTTATACACACACTATCGTATTCACATTCTATTATCTACTGTGTATTTATCTAAAGATAAAGACAATGGAGTTCAGTGGATTAATCACAGCACTTGCACTAAAAGCAAGACGACTTCTTTTTGTACCTCATAATCAATTTATATCCCTTAGTTTTTCTACCTGAATTAACGTTAAGGCAATAATTTTCTATTACTCATAATATAACAAGTTATAACCATGGTTTAATAAATGCAAATTATAATACAATTACTGCAAATAGAACTTGATTTTCTTGCTTTTTAGTAAATCACAGTTTCCACCTGCTAAGAAGTTGTATCTGTCCTATGTTATTCTAGAGTTTTAAATCCACTTTTGGCTGAAAGGCAATGTCTGAAAAAGTGACATGGCCCTAAGAATGCTGTGTGAGTGCAGCACTCTTTATAGGAACACAGCTTCCTATCAGGCCTTTGGAGTTTCCAGGGCTTGAACAGTGTCTGTCCGTGATTCTTCAGTATTAAACCCTTTGGCCACGCAGTGAAAAACTAAATAAAAATAAATATGCCCATTGTAGTTGCAGGGTTTTGTACAGTTGACAGAAGCCAGCACAATTTTCAATCCTACACTGAAAGATGGGATTTATGAAAAGAAACTTGCAACAATTGTATTTTACTGAAAAAGTGTGAGTATTTAAGGCAGAGAACCTGAAGATCACAGGTATTGCAGCCTTTCTGGTGTTTAACAAGCCAGGTGAATAGCCGGGATTTCTCTCTGGAAGGGGTGTGTGTGTGTGTGTATGTGTACATGTGTGTGTACCTACGGCCAGACAGGACCAGAATGCCCTAAAACTTAAGACCTAGGATGTCAATTTAAGCACTTCACCTGAATGTTACTTTGTTAAGTGAATTAACAACAGAAACTTCTTTCCCCTATTTTCCTTAGGAGGGACCAGATTGGGTGGAGAACTTTGGCCAGAAACACATTTTCCATCATGTAAGACTCGGAATGAGGGAGGATTCTTAGGAATAAATAACACCAAATGCACTAGGGCAGGAAGGAAAGTTTGTCTTCGTCCTTTTGAAAGCAAAAGTTAGAGCATCATACTTACAAAAGCCGCCTTCAAAATCTTCTCTAGAGAAAAAGCTCTGGGAACAGGGAGGAGGCAGAGGAGCAGAGATAAGGTGGCAGCGGGACTTCCTTCCTCCCGCAGAAGGGGAGAGTCATTGTTCCTTATCTGCCCTGACCTCGGAGGAGATCCGGGAGCCAGGAAGGCCTGCCCTCTGATCCTCACTGCCCTACCTCCTGCTCTCTGGGCCTCGGGTTTCCTATTTGCAGATTAAGCCGCGGGACCTGACAGCAGCCCCAAGATTCTTTAGGGACTGTCTGAGAAGTGCTCGCAAGATGCAGAAGGTTATATAAGCCCGCGTATTATTATCATCACACACCCCCATAGAACCAACGCTGCCAGACAAACAAAAGGCAGTTCCAAGAAGAGGAGGAGCAGAGGCAGAAGTTGCACTGGAGGTGAATTTCGGGACACTGCTGAACTGACTGGAAAAAAAAAAAAAAAGCAACTCCAACTCAATAAGTGTATGCAAACCTCGGCAAGCAAACAGGGCGCTGCGGCTGGCGGGCGGCGGGGAGGAGGGGCGGGAAGGGAGTCAAGGTTTCCAGGCGTGCGGTTCCGGATCCCCAGCACCCGGCACAGTAGCCGCCCGGGGGATGGAGTGGATGAGGAAGATGTGGTGTTTGGAAAGCCAGGCGTTCCAGAGCCCAGTGCTTAGCAAACACTGATCTTTCTTAGACGGGGACCAGATGCTGGGGACTGTACTTCTTTTAATTCCCGTCTGTTGTTTTCCTCATCAGGGTTTGCAAGGAGGTTTCCTGTGACCTGCTGAATTCTGATCTGTGCTCTTTTCTCTGTGGGAGCAACAAGCCCAGCCTGGGTCATCTGAGAAAGTTCTGTTAACTCTGAGCACCAGGTTTTTCCAGCCACCGCACCCTCACTTGCTGCTGTGTTGTCTTTAGAAGATTATTATCCTGCCTTGCTCTTGGTTCTGGTCCCCACCATGTAAAGCAATTCCCCATCCTGGCATTCAAAGCCCACAATTTTTGTCTGCACACTAATTTCCCACTTCCCATCCGCCCTCAGCATCACTTACCCCAAGCACATTAGAATATGATTCATTCTCTAAAGTTTCTCCATTTCCTAGCCTCACTCACTCAACATCCCCCCCCTCTCCGGCAGGGCTCCCTCTCCCCACACAAAACAAAACAAAAACTCTTTCCCCAAATTCCCCTCTTGCCTCCCTGTTGACCCTGCTTTTTGCTGTGGTCATTCTTCATGGGTTTTGGGATCTTGTGCTGTTCTTTTTGGTGGCCTTGGGCAGGGCTCTAAGAAAAGCCAGTGCTTAGTGAGTGTGCACTGAATTCTGTGACATCTAACCCAATCTCACCTGGGCCATCAGCTCAGGAACTTAGTCTCACCACCATGTGATCGGTGTATGACTTATGGTTGTTGAAGGTGTTTGTGATATCCCCTACTCTTGTGAATGTTTGAAATTTTAAGTTAGAGGGGTGTGAAGCTGGGAGTATGGCTCAGTGGTAGAGTACTTGCCTAGCATGTGCAATCCCCAGTACCGTAGCATAAAGACAAAGCTTTTATAAAACATACAAGGGTGCATGTAAACTTGAGTGACATTTCTTTAGGAAGTAAGTTCATAGGGAAACAGGACTGTTGGCATCCATGGAACCTGTGCTACTGTGTAGTGGAGGACCTATAAAGTGGAGCTTACTTTACACAGTGCCAGGAAAATCCCCCGGTGGTGAGATTTCCAGCAATCGCACACTTTGGGATGCTTTTTATGGGGGAACTCCTCCACTCTTGAAAGCACGCAGGCCATCACAACAGCCACTCTGCAAATGAGCAACAACTCTCCCGTGAATTGTTTTATGATACAGGGTGAAAGCTTGAACATGCATGACCTGTCAGGTACTGAGTTTCTTGTGGCTTTGTATTAAAGCGTTCCTGATGACATTTCCTCTGTTATTCTTTGGTAAAAACAACATGCTTTAAATTCCTTCTCTGGTGCTCGGATAAGGCCATCATGTCATGTGAGAGACTTGGGGTGTGTCTACACAGCACAGGCCCTCCAATGCATACAGAATGTGCGATGAATTAGAAAAAATTTCCCGTCTCCACTAATTTGGAACAATCCAAACCAATTCAGGTTCTAAAGAATTTCAGCCTCAAGTTCTTGAGGGTTTGGCATCAGGAATGACAAAGATATCATTGCAATTTAGCAGTTCAAGTGGCAAATTGTCCTTCATTGCATTCTGCCCAGGTCAGAGGCATAACCTTTATTGGAGCTATCAGTTATTCCTACTAGGTCTCAGGTACTAGGCTAGATACTTTTCACGTGTTCTTTTCCCCTCATGTGGTACTGGAGATTGAACCTGGGGCCTCACACATGTCAGGCAAGCACCCTACCAAAACATTCTCAGCCCTTACGTGTCTTCTTTTCCTAGCAATATCCTGAAATAGCGTTCTTTTTATCTTCACTTTACAGATGAGAAGATCAAGCCTGGTTGTATTAGCGTCCCATCTCTGACACAGTACCTGGTAATGACAGATACGGAGAAAAGATTTTATTTTTGGTTCACAGTTTCAGAGGTTTCAGTCCAGAGTTGGCTGAGTCTGGGGGCCTGCAGCAAAGTAGAACATCATGTCAGGGTGGAACAAAGCTTCTCTCCTCATGGAAGCTGGGAAGGGGCCAGACTCTAGATATCCAGCTCGAGGGCACACCCCAGTGATTTAATGTCCTTCCTCTGGGCTGCACCCTCTAAAGGTTCTGCTAGCTCTCAATAGCATCACGGGCCTTCAGCACGCAGGCCTTTGGGCAACATTTTAAGATCCAACCCATAACACTGGCCATACAGTTTAGGGAGTGACAGAGCCAGAACTTGAAACTAAATCTGTCTGACTCCACAGTTGGTGGATTTCCATTCGGTTCAAACCTGAATGGAACTTTAGATAGTATCTCATCTTCTGGTTATCAAACTGGGATCCAAGCAGCTCCAGGTTTCTAAAGAGGTACTTCAGGAACTTTAGGTTAGCATGGGAATGGGACCACTCTGAGTTGAAGGTCATCCCAGCCTGAGACCCAATCCACTCATTGGCTTCAAAGAATCATCGTTTCTGATTTATAGAGTGACTGTAGATTTTGTTTAAAACAAGGGTTTTGCTAGGGTGGGCATAATGGGTCCCACCTGTAGTCCTAGCTACTTTGGAGACTGGAGCGAGATTGCTTGAGGCCAGAAGTTGAATGCTAGCTTGAGCAACATAGTTCCACTCTATACTTAAATCATTAATTTGGGGCCCAGAAATGCTGTGCCCAAGGTTTTATAACTCAGAGTGACAGGCCCATGATCCATGCTAGATGTCTAGCCTCTACCAGAAACCACTTCCACCCCCAAGTAGTCCTGTTATCTCCCCACCAGTTGCATCACAGGGAAAGTGAGAGAGGCTGCAATTTCTGATGTGATTGTGACTTGACAGTATTCTCCTTGAAAAATGGAAAGTGGGAACACCCTCACATTGCCAAGCTAAGCTATGTTTTTAGCCTTTTAGCTGTAAGTGCAAAATTGATCTATGTTTTCCTTGAGACAAGTTAAAATCAAGTAAGGGGTTAACATGTTATTTGCATGATTTAGGGCTCTCCTCTTTTCATTCAAATCAAAGCCAGTAATAAAGGGATACTTCTGTGTGAATCATCTAGCTAATTATATGGCTGAGGCCTGAGAGCACTCTTAGTAGAAAAACTGCTTAAATCCTCATAGTTATCAATCCAGTCAGATGTGACTACTCATGAGGCACAGTAGGTGTGGGAAAGACAGAATTCTTAGAGAGCAGGCATAGCCAAGGGAATCTGAGCATCATCTTAAGCCCATATAGTTTGTATGGGTGACTGGATTTGTAAGGCCCAAAATTTTACATGCTGTCTTGACATCTTTGAGCCTCACAAGGCCCCAAAGACCTTCCCTTTGAGTTCCTCTGCTTCACTTGACATGTGCCAACACCAGTAGAAAGTGTGCCCACCTGGCTTGCTTCCTGTCAGCTGGAACAGCCACACTCATCCACCCAGTAAACCTAACTTACTCATCTTAATGGGCTTCGCTTCCTTGCCAGCCCAAGCAGTTCTTCAAACAAGCCACTCCCATCCTCCCCTGGGAACCAGGGGCACCCCATCTTGTTGATACTACAAAATCTGCCTCCCATAATGGACTCCCTCCAAATGGACTCCCATCTGAGTCCTTGCTGGCTCACTAGCTCCCAGTTCCAGAGTCCAGTCCCCAGCTGGCCCAGAATCCACTTCCTGTGGACTGTGCGTACCTGTGACTAATAAACTACTCTAGATCTTATCTGTCCAGCTTCAGACACTGTGAGTTCAGCCATCGCCAGAGCCCTAGGGCGAGACTCCCTCCTTCACCGCTGGGGTGAGGAGGATGTAAACAAAACAGTGACCAGACATTAATGCTAACACTGGATGGAATTTTTTACAGAGAGCTAGTGCCAAGTAACCCATCCTTTGGAGTTTTGCTAAGTGTCAGACTATTTGCAAACAGAAATGAATTTTAAATTATGTCAGCCACAACTGACATTTATTAATTTCAAGGCCCCTGAGCTTTGCCATGTACTCTAATTTCTAGCATTCTCACCTAGAGATTTTTGGGAGCAATAGCTCTGACCTCTTTCCTGAGGTAGCTGAGCTACAGTCCTGCCTAGAGGCAAAGAAGTAAAAGGTGACCCTGGCCTGTCATTTAAATCTCTACTAACTGCATTCTTTCAGGAAAATACAGCAGAAAGAATTTTTCTCATCTCTACAGACAAGAAATTATAATAAACAGATCTCCCCCCCCCCCGATCTGAAACATCCTACTGTTAATATATTTCTAAATTCTCAACCCTGGAAACAAAGTCTTAGATGTAATTTTTTTTCCTGTTCATGAGATTTACAATAGGAAGGTCATGTTTGTACTAGACTTTGGTTTGAAATTAATCTTTTCTCTTTGGCATTTCTATAGAATCCAGGCACTTCATTATTTAGTCATTTCCAAATATGAAATACTTGTCATTCTTGAACAACGGTCTAATCCTTCCTTTATGGGCGGAGAAACTGAATTTCGGAACTTGCAAATCATTGCCAGGGCATCGATCACTGTAAAGGTTGTGACTAGCCATTGAAATACTTTCCTCCACACGTCCTTAGACTACTAAGTACAAATGTAAATTGTTCCGTAAGCAACACGTAGGACATTCTCCAACCTTTGGTGGTGCTCGCCTGTGATCTCAACACTGGGGAGGTGGAAACAAGAGGATCTGAGTTTGAGGCCAGCCTGGGACTACATAGGGAGATCCTGTCTCAAGCACCAATCCCCCGCCCCAAA